TAACGATGTCTATCATATATGGTCACCATTATTGGAGTTTTGCAAAGATATTAACCCATGCTTTTGGTAAAGATTTAATGTCTTTTCCTTATGTAATTAAAGGAGGTCTTGAAACAGTGTTCACTGATCTTCTAAGGAGAACAAACAAGCCCTTCTAGACTATAAAATTTAGGTCGCCAGTTTTGGACCTTCGTGAAGGGGTTAGTTCATGATTTTGACCAAAACTTTAGAAATTTCTATTTGTCTATGTTAAGGTAAATCAGGCCTTCAAATGATGTTTTTCGATGTTGTAGACAGAAAACAAGCCTGTATAGTAGACTATAGAAAAATCGATCATAAATGGTCGCCATATTATATTTTTTGAAATAGGTTAACCCATAATTTTGGCCAAAATTTGATTTAAAAAAAAGGAAAATGGCGATTTAATAAATTTCTGGAGTATCTATTTTTTAAGGATATGTGAAAAAATTCAAGTCTTGACCTCTAAGGCGTCCTTGTCTTTGAATCTAAGTTTGTTATATTTACGAGGAAAGACTTTAGAGATGCACACGAGGGATGACTGAAAGGTGGAAGGCAATACCCTTAGTCGAGATGCCAGTCTAGTATTCCGCAACTCAATCGTGTTGGCTTATAAATAATAAAAGACGTTTTACGATTGTGGAAGAGTCAGTACTCACAGTTATAGACGTTTTAGTTTTATTTGCCGTTTATGATAAAGGGTATATATACATATCCAGATATTATAAACCACATATAGCTAAGCATCCTTTCAATGTGCTTTGCGTTTTTTGTGAATAGTAAAAAACTTTATTTATCTAAGCTTCTTGCTAAATGATTGAGAGATGGGCCAAAAAATCAGTATTGTTGTTTGTTTAGGTCAAAAATTGTCTACATTGTAAATTCAAAAGATCGTTTTTAGGCCGAGAAATGTTACCTAGGCCTGGAAGTTCCGTGGAGCCATTTGAGAACAATCTGAAGGAAAGCAGCCCTATTAAAGAACTGCTTCAGCTACCACTGAGAGCCAGAGTTTGGTGGCCCACAAGAGTCCTTGAAGATGACATTATTTTGGCCCTTTTTCTACTACATTAGAAATTTCTGCAATTTGATTGGCTTAGAGCAGTGGTATTTCAGCTTAATTTGAAATACCTACATGTGAAAATTACAAACCTTTTGCGAGTAGTAGTATTAACAAATAATAGCCTTATTTGAACGTGGTATTTGGCATAAATACCACGAGTGATATTTCAAAATTGTCTCAAATTTCACTCGCCTAACGGCTCGTGAAATTTCGTATAACAATTTCGAAATATCACTCGTGGTATTTATGCCAAATATCACTACAAATCATGCTATTACCTATACTAATTTGTTAATCTCGTAGAAAAATGGACAGTCTCAAGTTGGTATCTCATGGTTCCAGCATAAATATCAGTGCAAAAACTCCTACGGTGATTAGGAGGGCGCTGACACTAATGACTGAGCCCGCGTTGCACATATCGTCATTGCAACAACGTATGTCACATTCCGATGACCCGCCTTCATCGGAACAAACTGGATTCGCTTCTTTCTCGCAGAGGCTTTTCAAACCGCAAGACCTTTCATACTGAGTGCTCCCACCCTTCCTGTATTGAACGCTGAAGCAAACTGAGTCTTCTTGGGTACACTCTGCGGTTGATTGATTAAACACTCGCTCGCAGTCTTTCCATGATTTGGTACTGGTGCAGTGATGGCACGTTAACGAAGCGGCTTCAAATAAAATGAACAAAACAAGTTAATTCGAAGGAAACTCCCTTATCACTATCACTAACATCATCATCATCATCATCACCATCATCAGTCTACTGTCATTCTCAACCACTCAGAAGAGAATCTAAACCAATTTTACTTTCTTGCACGCGTTTTTCCGGGCAAGACGGCGCCAACAAAGACGATTGGTTTATTTGAATATTACTGTCAATTTAGATGACGAAAGAAATAATTTGTGTTTTTGTTTAGTGACAACTCTTCAATCACAATAATTCCTCGCTTATTTTATAACCTGAAGACATGAGACGGCTGGGAAGGCTGCCTGAACTGTGCTCAGTGGAGAAACACAAGCTACGAACGCATCTCCAACTTTGAGGCAGCCAGGTTGATGAAAATGAGGAAAAATAAAAGAGCCCAGCTCATAGCCGGGATCTGCATACCCCTAGCCTGCAAATACAACAGCCTGTCCTCACTCCTCGCCGCTCGCTAAATGTCCCTTTAGCGGTGAAGAGTAAGGAGAGATGACAAAAATTGAAAGGCTAACCTACTCCCTCCTAACCGCCCCCAATTGACTGAGACCACATAAGCAAGAACGGCTGCCGGATCTGCAAATCCCGCATAAGTCTGCCTTCCTATATGAGACAACATGAAAAATCATTGTTCTAATCTATGATTACTGTGCAGTACGGTTTCTTGCTAAACACCAAGAGAGAATGATGGTGCAGAGAAGGAAACGCCCAGTCTAGCCCTTGGGATATGTGAATTTCACCAAAGTTATTTTTAGACCAATCAAACACTTGAAATTAATAGGAAGTTGGTTTCCGAAGGGGTCCGCCAAATTTTTCTCAGTGTTGTTAAGACGGAATTCAACAGTCGCTATTACAATATTCTGCATCGTTTGCTTTGAGGCAGTCGCGCGTGGGCTTGATGACGTTTTAAATAATCGATCGAAATGTGCGGAGTTCCCAAGAATTATACTTCCATTTGGATACAAACCTCTAAAAATAAGTCATGTGAAATTCACATATCCCTGCAAACGCCCTAAGATTCCTTCTCCGTCCCATCACTAGTGAGCTTAAGCAACAACGACGGCGACGGTTACGAAAACGTCCCTTAAAAAGTAGATTCGCGCTGCTTCAAACTGTATCGAGCTTATTCCATCTCGTTCAATTCGTCAATTGTTGGCAAGCTATTCTGGACTTGAATTCTAAAAGACTGTATCAAGGTTCAAGAAAAATAAAGTCGTTTGTCTTCAGGGGTTCACGTCCTCCACAAAACGAGAAGTTTGGCACTTTCAAAATTTGGCACTTTCACATCGTAGTCGTGCAGTGAAGGCAAAGAAATGTACAAAAAAACGTGATGCACGTGCAAAGTTGTTGTATGCCAATCTAAACCTACTGGGTTTTTTTGCCGTTCTCGTTACCGTCGCCGACGTCGTTGCTTCAGCTTCCTATTCGCTCTTGTGATTAAACGATTTAACCCATGCTAATCGATACTTACATTGATCGGGTGCATCTTTCTCATTTGTCATCTCCAATCTGTACTTCATCACTAGACCCTAAAAGAAAGCAAAGCAGAAAGCGGAATGGATTGTCAAATTCGTGAACATCTAGATTTTAAAATGAGCAACATCCAAAAAGCGGATTTTGCCTAGCCTTGGCCACAAGTTGCTTGGCAATTTTTTGGCAACTTTTGCTGTTTGGAAAATTTTTCTGGCAACTTTTGCTATTTGGAGCAACTTCCTATTTTTAGGGAAACTTGATTAAATTCTAAACAACCTATGGCAATAAAAAAAAGCCGTATGATACTCTTTAAGTCTTGTTAATATATTTTTTTTTTACAAAATTTCAGTTCTCAACCTTCGTCGACAAGGATTTTTTAAAACAAACAATCAAAACAAGAAATCGGGTCCCTCAGAAATCAATTTTGAGATTTCTCGTTCGACTTGGAAATCCGGAAGGCACAAACTAGCTGCAACCAGTTGCAAAAATGTTGAGACACTCCGACGAAAAACCGGCGGCTTAGACACACCTTCTTCCTTCCATTCAAAAGGGGAAAAGGGCAGGGGACATCACAAGCACAAGGTGCTGGCAACGTTGCTTCCGCCCAAATGACTCTGAAATGAGGTACAGTGTGTCGAGAACTTTTGCAACTTGTTTGTAGCCTGAGTATCAGTCGTGTCTCGGAAAAAAGAAGGAGAGAAAAGCAAACAGGAGGGACAATAAAGGCAAGGAAACTCCTAGGGATACCGCCTTATGGATAAACGGATAAACGGTCATGATGTGCCGCTGAACAGGGTCTTGAGTCAGGGTATACAATTTCACTATTCTTTTTACAAAATTTCAGTTCTCAACCTTCGTCGACAAGGATTTTTTAAAACAAACAATCAAAACAAGAAATCGGATCCCTCAGAAATCAATTTTGAGATTTCTGGTTCGACTGGGAAGCCTTTTAAAGAGTTTTTAGGTTGGCAATGAGCTGTCTACATATTTATGTGGTACCAACCTTTTTTTTCCAACAAAAATCCAATTCCATGATGTTCGTTAAAATTTAAGATTCCACTCCAAAGGGACCACGACCTTACTTTGGTGGAGTGGTTTGCGTGTTTCAATGACCCATAGAGCTGTGTCCTGGTATGGCCATCCATGCTGAACAGGTCGAAGGATAGAGACCAGACTAAGTATGGTCCCTTGGTCCTCCAGGATGGGGGTTGGCCTGATGGCTGATAACCATTTCCCATAAAACCCCTTTATTACAGAAACCAGAAGCAAGAGGTCTTATTGGCCACGAGCCACGAAGAGGATAGATGAGGTTAGGTGTGAGTGAGTTTACTTAATTTTGTTTGGGAAACGAAATGAATCAGGGTCATAAATAAGGTCTCTTGTCTTAAACAGGGTAGCGAAATGAATGATTTTTGTCTTGAGCAGGGTCAGGGTTTGAAGGTCTCAGTTACACATCTCTAGTTTAACTTCTCTTGAGTTCCCCACCCCCACCCCCCAGGAGAAACTGCTTCTCTCTATTTCTCCCTCCCCACTGTTAATCCTCCTTTAAAATCTCTCCCCCACTACCCCTAAGGAGGAGGATAGCCAGGTTACAAAATATAACTGGCATTTTCAATTCAGTTCTTGGGACTGCTCTAAAGACCGTTTTGGAATCAACGAAAGACCAGACTAGTTCAAGGTTCAGACCAACCTTAATCTTCATACAAAGATATCAATGAATGACAGGAGTCGAGCCCCTGTGGATTGTTTTAC